GGGGAAAAAGTCAAATTTTGGGTAAAAGGAGCCCTTCTCCCCCAAAAGGGGTGTTTTTCCCCCCGAAAAAAGTGGTGGTTTTCCCCCCAAAAAAGTGGTGGTTTTCCCCCCAAAAAAGGGGCCATTTGCCCCAAAAAGGGGCCATTTTCCCCCAAAAAAGGGGTCATTTCGCCCAAAAAAGGGGTGCTTTTTCCCCAAAAAAGGAGTGCTTTTTCCCCAAAAAGGGGCCGTTTCCCCCCAAAAAGGGGTGTTTTTTCCCCAAAAAAGGGGTCGTTTCCCCCCAAAAAAGGGTCCTTTTTCCACCAAAAAAGGGATCATTTCTCTCCAAAAAAGGCTGGTTTCCCCCCAAAACAGGGGTCATTTCGGCCAAAAAAGGGGTGCTTTTTCCCCAAAAAAGGAGTGCTTTTTCCCCAAAAAGGGGCCGTTTCCCCCCAAAAAGGGGTGTTTTTTCCCCAAAAAAGGGGTCGTTTCCCCCCAAAAAAGGGTCCTTTTTCCACCAAAAAAGGGATCATTTCTCTCCAAAAAAGGCTGGTTTCCCCCCAAAACAGGGGTCATTTCGGCCAAAAAAGGGGTGCTTTTTCCCCAAAAAAGGAGTGCTTTTTCCCCAAAAAGGGGCCGTTTCCCCCCAAAAAGGGGTGTTTTTTCCCCAAAAAAGGGGTCGTTTCCCCCCAAAAAAGGGTCCTTTTTCCACCAAAAAAGGGATCATTTCTCTCCAAAAAAGGCTGGTTTCCCCCCAAAACAGGGGTCATTTCGGCCAAAAAAGGGGTGCTTTTTCCCCAAAAAAGGAGTGCTTTTTCCCCAAAAAGGGGCCGTTTCCCCCCAAAAAGGGGTGTTTTTTCCCCAAAAAAGGCTGGTTTCCCCCCAAAAAAGGGGTGTTTTTCCCCCAAAAGAGGGGCTGTTTCTCCCAAAAAAGGGTTGTACCCCCCCAAAAAAAGGTGGTTTCTCCCAATTAAAGGGTGTTTTTCCCCCAAAAAGGGGCCATTTCCCCCCAAAAGGGGAGCTTTTTCCCCAAAAAAGGGGTCATTTCCCCCCAAAAAGGGGTGGTTTCCCCCCAAAAAGGGGTGTTTTCCTCCAAAAAAGCGGTCATTTCCCCCCAAAATAGTCCTTTTTCCACCAAAAAAGAGATGTTTTTCCCCCAAAAAACGGGTGCCTTTCCTCTCAAAAAGTGGTTGTTTTCCCCCGAAAAAGGCTGGTCTCCCCCCCAAAAGGGATGTTTTTCCCCAAAAAAAGGCTGGATTTTCCCCAAAAAAGGCTCATTTTCCCCCAAAAAACTCCGTTTTTCCCCAAAATCCCCCTTTTTCCACCCAAACTTGGCCTCACCTTGAACTTGGGGACGGGCAGGGAGAGGTCGCGGTGCTTGGCCCAGATGCGTCGGGGGCGGGGGTCCTGCACGGGGCCCACGGGGGGGAACCCCGGCTCCTGGGGGGGGACAGGGGGTCTGTGGGGCGCCCCATAGATCCGTGGGGCAGCCTCGGGTCCATGGGGCACCCCCCACATCTATGGGGCACCCCACGGGACCCCAGACCCACAGCTGAACCCCAAAAACATCCTCTCATCCTACTTTTGGGGTGTCTGGGGGATCACTTATGGGGCACCCCCCACGTCTATGGGGCAGCCTCGGATCTATGGGGCGCCCCACGGGACCCCAGACCCACAGCTGAACCCCAAAAACATCCCCTTCTCCTACTTTTGGGGTGTCTGTGGGGTCACTTATGGGGCACCCCACACATCTATGGGGCACCCCACGGATCTATGGGGCACCCCACACACTTATGGGGCAGCCACGGATCTATGGGTCGCTCCCCACATCTATGGGGCACCCCCAGACGCCTGAGACCTACAAGTGAACCCCAAAAACATCCCCTTGTCCTACTTTTGGGGTGCTGTGGGGTCACTTATGGGGCACCCCCCACATCTATGGGTCACTCTCCACATCTATGGGGTGCCCCACACATCTATGGGGCACCCCACACATCTATGGGGCACCCCCCACATCTATGGGGCGCCCCACGGGACCCCAGACCCACAACTGAACCCCAAAAACATCCTCTCATCCTACTTTTGGGGTGTCTGGGGGATCACTTATGGGGCACCCCATGGATCTATGGGGCACCCCACACATCTATGGGGCAGCCTCGGATCTATGGGGCGCCCCACGGGACCCCAGACCCACAGCTGAACCCCAAAAACACTCTCTTGTCCTACTTTTGTGATTCCTATGAGATCACTTATGGGGCACCCCACATCTCTAAAGCACCCCACACATCTATGGGTCACACCCCACATCTATGGGTCGCTCCCCACATCTATGGGGCACCCCACACATCTCTAGGGCACCCCAAAACACCTCACACCCCACAAATAAACCCCAAAACACCCCTGAAACCCCCCTGTCCTACTTTCGGGGATACCTACGGGACCACTTATGGGGCACCCCATAGATCTATGGGTCACCCCACATCTCTAGGGCACCCCACACATCTATGGGGCACCCCAAGACACCTCACACCCCACAAGTGAACCCCAAAACATCCCTTAGACCCCCACATCCTATTTTTGGGGACCACTTATGGGGCACCCCACACATCTATGGGTCACTCCACACACTTATGGGTCACTCCCCACACTTATGGGGCACCCCAAGGGACTCTAGACCCATAAGTGAACCCCCAAACATCCCTCAGACCCCCTCATCCTATTTCTGGGGATACCTATGGGGCTACTTATGGGGCACCCCATAGATCTATGGGTCACTCCCCATATCTATGGGGCACCCCACGGATCTATGGGGCACCTTGAGGGATCTGACACCCCCAAAAGATCCCTCCGACCCCCACATCTTATTTTTGGGGATACCTCTGGGGCCACTTATGGGGCACCCCACACATCTATGGGTCA